GAGGCACTCCGTTCGGAGGCAAGGGAGGCGCTACTGAACGCGCCCAATACGAAACCGAAACGCCACACAACACTATACCTTGAAAACCATTCACCCTAGAGGGAAAATAAGGGCACCTCCTCCCCCTTAGAAACCCCAAGGAGGACGATCGGAAACTAAGCCGGGCGAAAAACTGCGGATAGACAGGACGGGCAAAGGCACAAACTTAGGGAAGGCGACCCCGAGGAGGGCGCCATCTTGGCGCAACGGGCGCCATATTGGCGCGCTCACTTGCCCGATCTAGCTGGACTTAGGGAGAGTCGAAACCGAAACCGAAAGAGAAACCAAAACCATAGTCAGTTAACTCTTCACAGGATCTAAATTCCAAACTCTGTAAACTTCAAAAATTCATAATAAATCAACCGTCGATAATACAACAAAACCATTTTTCGTAAGGAGTCATTAAATTGAAGCACCTATCTAAAAAAAATATTATTAAATAAAAAAAAAAAAAAAAAAATTTTTAAATCTAATTTTGAAAAACCATAGAAAATCGACAAATAGAGACAGCGCGAAACCAAAAGTAGTTTTCCGGGGTGAAATCTCCCCCCAACCTAACCGTACAATCAGGGACACAACTAGAGTAAGGGAAAAGAGAGGGGAAGGGGAACGAAGCAAGAAAGGTATAAAGAAAAAAAAAATCAAGCCCACGGCACCTGTGACCCGGGTCGTGGAGGGGTATAGTCTCACAGGACAACACGTACGGGACACTTTGACCTGTGGGGGAAGGGGGGGGGGGCGACTGGTTGATGCAGGAAAAACCGATTTGAGAGTTTTGGGAGAAACACATATAAAATCGTTGCCAGAGTTCGCTGTCAGATGGAGGAGGGGTGACGGGCCGGGTGGCCAGACTTCCCTGCTGGTCGAGACTCTCGGCAACCCGACGCGCTGGGAACGCGTCTTGATTCTCACCTGCAGAGTATTCTGGGCAATACCACGTAGGGGTCAGATACCTCCCTCGGGAATCTTCAGGTTGTGCTCCCCCTGGGGACACTTTACCGCTTCCTAAACATTTGCAGGGTGGCAAAAAAAAAGCGTCAAACCGGTGAAAAAAAAAAACAACTTAAGCAAATAAGAGGAGCACTAAACCGTCTATCGACTACTCGAATAATAAAACATTTGTAATAAACTCCTGAAGGATTAAGAGAGCAAACACCGCAGACCAGGCCCAGTACACCGACGCAGACAAATGTCCAACCCACTTAAACATCACCAATAGACGCACACGTAAACCAAGAGAAGTAAAGATGGCGACGAGCCAGTCAGACGAGTTTGAAAACGAAAACGGATTCTTTGAAGAGACAGAGAAATCAAAGAAGAAAAAAAAGACCAAAACAAAGGAAACAAAGAAAGACCAAAACAGAACACAACAAGTAAAAAAAAAGAATCCGGTACCACTTTCCGAACTAGGTGGTGCCAGCGATGAGGACTTCGAGTTCGAGTACGAAAGTGGGGGAGAGGGGAGGGGAGGCCAGAGACCCTCAAAGAGACACAAAGGCAGCACAAAACAAACCCAAAGCAGAGAAATGGTTGAGGTAGACGAAAACTACATGCAGGGCAATACAGCCTGCCTTATACAGTTACAAACAGAGCTCGTCGAAGCAGTGATGGAGGCCACCCTAGCGAGTGGTGACAGACAGGCCGCACAAAAAATGCTCAAGGCGAGTGAGCGCCTGGTCGGTCTGGCCATTGAACAAATAAGGCAGGCCGCCTTTGATCAGGGCAGGGCTGAGGGACTCTCAGAGCTGATCCACCACCTGAAAACAGAAAACACAAACCTAAAAAAACAACTCGAAGAAGGCAAACCTGAAACCGAGATCAGGGGAGAGTCCAGCTACGCAGATATCCTGCGAACCACGGCTCCAGCCCAAAAGACCAACCCCGAGGGTGGAGCAAACCGGGGCAAGAGCGACAAGGACCCAACCACCACAGCCGGACAACCCCCCTTCAGCGCAGACACCAACTCCGAAGCCACGGAGGGGCTCATCATCAGGCCCAGCGACCCCAGGATGGAGGCGCCCTTCGAACATGTAAGACAGACTCTCAACCGATCCTTCACTCCGCATGAACTCGGGTTAGACAACTTTGCATGCACCAAGATAAGGGAGGGCGCCATTGTAACAAGCACTAACCGGGAGGGACTCGAACGGCTACAAAGACTGCTAGAAACAAAAAAAGAAACAGCGGGGCATTTCGAGACAAGAATAGCGGAAAAACGACTTCCCCAGATCTCGGTAACAGCAGTTGACCCGAACATTGAGGAAGAGGAACTAAAAATCAAAATAACCGAACAGAACAAGATCGAGGGCAACAGTAATGACATCAAACTGATGCGTACATTTGAAAGAAGGGACCAAACAAAAACGCACCTCCTTGAGGTCACCCCAGATATCTACCAACAAATCTACCACATGGAAAAACTCCTCATAGGGTGGACCTACTGCCCTATGAGGGAGAACGTACACACTAACAGATGTACAATCTGCTGTAAGTACGGCCACACTAGCAAGAACTGCCGGGGCGTGGAGAGGTGTTCCGAGTGCGCGGGCCCCCACCACTACACACACTGCGACGGGGAACAGGACGCAGAGGGCTACATCCTACCAAACAGGTGCCCCGCCTGCACTGATAACAACGAAAAACTTCACACAAAGTACGAAACGAACCACTCATTTTACGACCAGGGATGCCCGAGTCTGGGCGCCGAACAGGCCAAGGTGCGTGCCAGAACAAAATATAATTAAACCCCAAAGTTGAGCCACCAAGAATACTCACAACAAAATGACACAAGAGACCGAAACCAACAGTGGTAAGAGGACGACAAGTCCCCAAACACCAGGAATGAAAAACAATCAGAAGGAAAGGGAAAAAAAGGAAAAGAACTCACTTAACATAATCCAAATAAATCTTAATCACTCGTATGCAGCGACAGAACAACTAAAAACCAACCTTCAAACTTTCGAAAATGATGTAACTTGTGTTCAAGAGCCCTACTATAGCAAAAACAAAGTGATCGGATTCTCAATGAAAGATATAATAATACAATGCAAGGAAAAACCACGTACAGCAATAGTAATTCACAAGAAACAATTTGATATACACATTGAAAAGGCAGAGAGGGACATCACTGCAGTAAGACCTAAAACTAAAGACGAAGACTTCCTTATAATCAATGTATACGCACCACCTAACGCTGACATCAACGAGACCATAAGGGAGATAAAGACAATTTCCGAAAAGTATGAGACAGTACCCTTACTAATTCTGGGGGACTTTAATGCTAAAAACCCAGCCTGGGGAGGGAAACTATTGGACAGGCGAGGGGAAACTTTAGGGGAATACATCCTAGGTAATGAACTACACCCGATAAACGACCAAGACTCTGCTCCAACTTTTACCTCGTCCAATGGACGAAGTTGGATCGACCTAACAATAGCAAGTCAAAACCTCCTTCCTAGGGTTAACTCATGGAAGATACTCGATGAAATAACGGAAAGTGACCATAATTATATAGAAATTAAACTCTTTAACACAATCAAAAACAACACGAAAAGGTTAACTAAAAAAGGCGAGATTAGATTCATCGAGGAAATAACCAACGACGACTGGCTAATGAAAAATAAAAATAGACAAATAGAGTCAAAAGAGGCCCTTGAACAAATCCTAAATATCTTAATCGAAAAACTTAAAAACCTTTACAAAAAGCACGTACAGAGAGTAAGGGAATCCACCCAACAAAACCCATGGTGGAGCCCAGAACTGGAAAAGGAGAGAAAACAAACGAGAGCAATGCGGCGCAGATACCAACAATGTAACAGCACAATGCGCCCGGCATACAAAAGCGTTTACCTACAGGCTCAAAAAAAGTACAAAACCAATGTAAAAAAAGCGAAAAACGACTCGTGGCAACAATTCTGCACAGAAGCCACAAGAAAAAACATTGTCGGCATACCATACAAAATAGCTTTTGACAAAATGAAAAAACCAATAGTGATCCCAGCAATCATTACACCTAACGGCGAGTCAACCAAATCCCTTGAGGAATCCATAACAACAATACTCACTCCCCACTTCCCTCCTGATACACCGGAGAACTACTCTAACTCAAAAAAAGTGATTAGAGACAGCACAGCTCTACCGCCAGAAACAGAAAACGACATACCTTTCTCAGAGATTGAGTTAGAAAACACAATAAAAAACATACCAAACAGAATAGCCACCGGCCCCGACAACCTAACAACCGGAATAATAAAAGCAATCAGCACCAAACATGCCAATCTCATCCTTAACATATTCAATGGATGCCTCAAATACGGGTACTACCCACCCAGCTGGAAGGAAACAAAAGCTATACTAATCCCAAAACCGTCAAAACCTCCTAGCGATACATCATCATACAGACCAATATGCATAAATTCAATCCTCGGAAAAGTCTTAGAAAAACTTCTCAATAACAGAATGTACTACTACCTCTACTCAAAACAACTCCTACACCCCAAACAGTACGGATTTACGCATGGAACTTCAGCAACAAAAGCCCTTCTATAGATAAAAGAAGTCCTCAAAGAAAACATAACATCCAAAGAAAAATCCCTACTAATATCCCTAGATATATCAAACGCATTTAACACCATATGGATACCACATGTACTGAAAAAACTGAAAGACTACAAGTTACCAAAGAATCTCTACGCCCTCCTCCAGACAGTTCTAAGTGAAAGAATAATCAAATACGAAACAGTATCAGCAAACATTACAGTAAAAAACCCAATAGGGAGCCCACAGGGATCCCCCCTAAGTCCACTAATTTGGAACATTTTCATCACTAACTTATTGGACATACCACTTCCTGATCACGCACACATACAGGCATTTGCGGACGACGTCCCCATCATAATTAAAGGAAACACAAGAAGCGAACTAGAACAGAGAGCCAACGCCATGCTTGAAATCGTAAATAAATGGAGTAAAGAACACGAAGTAAAGTTCAACAAACAAAAGTGCCAATACCTAACAATAGGCAAAGACTATAAAAAAGGCACCCCGTAGTCAAGTTTGGTGACCAAAATCTAAAACACACAGAGGAACTAAAAATACTAGGAGTCATATTCGACCGCAATCTTTCATTTATCCCACACGCCAACTACCTAAAGTCAAAAACTTATAAAAATACGACTAGTCTCGCAGCGTTTTCAGGCCTCAAATGGGGTATCAAGCCAAAACAATTTAGAGACATTTACATTAAATCAATAGAAAGATCAATAGTTTACGCGGCACCCGTATTCTGGAAAAACATGAAAAACTCGCATTTGTTGAGGAAACTCATCTCAGTACAAAGAATCCCCATGATAAGAATAACAAAAGCATACAGAACAGTAAGCAACAACTGTCTCAATGTCTTAACAAATATAAAACCAATTGATATAACCCTAGACAAAGAGGTCGCCGCATTTTATGTCTTTCAAAACAAAGAAGACTACTCCATAAATGAAAAAGAATACACTGCGGACAAGGTACAACATCAAGTAGATATATGGAAAAGCCATCCTGCAAAACAGTATGCAGTACCATTTGCGACAAGCAACGAAACGCCAGAACAAACCCAGTACAAAATATACACGGATGGATCCATAGCAAAAGGATCAGCCGGGGCTAGTTACATTATAATGGACAGGCATGAATCAGTCACAGTAATGAAAAAGATAAAGCTACCAAATTACGCAACGATATTTGATGCTGAAATGATTGCAATCCAAGAGGAAATAAAAGAAACACTAAGTTTCCCCGACAACACAACATTCGCCCTCTTCTCGGATAGCCTCTCCTCACTTAAAGCCTTAGCAAACCCATACAATCAGAACCCCATCGTCCACGAAACGAAAAACCTAATTAAAACACTCCTTCAGAAACAGAAACTCAGCATGCACCATGTCAGAAGCCACACCAACATCGACGGAAATGACCTAGCCGATAAACTAGCCAACGAAGCTAGAAAAACTGGCAGACCAATTGAAATCAAAACATCGAAAAAGTTCATAAAAAAAGAAATGGAGGAAGACGCACGAGAAAGATGGGACAGGGCCTGGACGCAGAGCGAGGTAGACATAGAACTCCACTCATGGATACCTTCAATCCACCAAATACCACAATATTTTCCAACCAACCACCATCAAACACAGCTGTTAACCAACCATGGAAAATTTCCATATTACTTTAAAAAGATCAACAAAACCAAAGACGCAAAATGTATCTGTGGGGAGCTGGCTGAAACACTTAACCACTACACAGATAACTGCGCAACAACCCAGGAATTGAGCAACACATTTAAAACAACCCACCCAGCCGGCCTAACAAACGAATCCAAACCTGACATTGTAAGCGACGAAGAAATAATGAAAACTTTAGAAGCATTAGTACAGCAAATAAACAAAATAACGAATCCCAACTAAAAAAAGAAAAAAAAAAGGAAAAAAAAAGCTAAAAACTTTAACCACTATCTAGAAGATTGTCCAATCTCAAAAAACCTTAGAGACAGATTCTTAAAATATTTCCCAACAGGCCTCACAGATTCAAACAAAACACAAATAATAAGCCATCAAGACGCATTCAAGATTTTAGAAGAAATTGTCAAAACTATAAATCAAGTAAATCAAACAATATAAATACAATTCAAATATAACTGAGAAAGCATAATTATAACTTGCATAGACTATTTGGGACACCTATCCAACTAACTTGTTGGCACTCCCTTACTCATAAGCAACAGCATCTAAAAACGGGGAAATTAGGGTTGGGACAAGTAGGCGAAGAAAAAAAAAAAAAGGGGGAAATTAGGGTCGAGAGACAAGGGAAGCCAACTGCCCAGATAGAGACTCCCATCGGGCCGATAGGGCGGAAACTTTAGAAGGCAATAGGCCCTAAAATAAGTGAGGGGCGCACCCTACCAACTCTCCCCCATGGAAAGAAGGGAGGGAAGAAGGAAGGAAAAAAAAGAAAAAGAATGTCTGGAAAAAGGAAAAAAAAAAGGAAAAAGAAACGACTGAAACAGACAGGGACAATTAGGGGGGAGACTCCGGGGCCTCCCCCACAAAGAGAACGGAAAGAAACAAGTACCGAGAAAACAAGGTCATGGCGGGGGGCATCCACCTGACACCTGGGTGTCCCCGGTTGGGCTTCCTCGGCCCTCCCCGGGAGCCAGGAGCCGCCCACTCATCCTTGGAGTGTTCCTCTGGGGGTGGGTCGCGAGTACCTTTAAGCAGGATAGAAAGAAAAAAAAAGAGAAAGAAATGTGGAAAGAAAAAAAAAAGACAGGGACCCATTAGGGGGGAGACTCCGGGGCCTTCCCCAAACAAAATAGAACGAAACGGAATGAAAACAAAGAGAGAAGGAGGAGGTCACGGCGGGGGGCACCCACTTAAAACCTGGGGTCCCTGGTGGGTCCCAGTTCTCACCCCGGGAGAC